AGGTTGAAGCAGGCGCTCATCAACTATCCAGTGCTGCGTGCTCCAGACTTCGACCGGGAGTTCATCATCTACACCGATGCGTCTAACAGCGGGGTAGGAGCAGTTCTGTGCCAGGAGGATGAGAATGGTGACCAGCATCCAGTGTCCTACCTGAGTAGGAAACTTCAAAAAGGTGAGAGACATTTGGCAACCGTGGAGAAGGAGTGTTTGGCCATAGTCTACGCGATCCAGAAGGCCAAGCCTTACATCTGGGGAAGACATTTTGTTCTGTGCACTGACCATTCACCACTGCAATGGTTAAAGACAATGAAAACCCACAATAGCAAACTTATGAGGTGGGCTTTAAACCTACAGGACTATGACTTTGAAGTGAAGGTGGTCAGAGGGTCAGTGAACTGTGTTGCTGACGCCTTGTCAAGAAGACCTGAAGAATGAAGACGGCGAAAGAAACATGGACTATGTATATATATTGATGACAAAAAGTTAAATGTACCTGTTTTTTGAACTTGGTTTGTATGAATAAAGGTAAATTGATGTAATGTATATGGTAAATGTTTAAATGCCTAATTGCTATGGTTAACTTAGAATGTAAGTATAAGTAAGTATGATATGGTATGTATAACTGTTGTTGTATGTTTTATTCAGGTTGTTTTTTGGTGAAAAGCACCTTAGCTTTCCCCCTACAAAACAACTTATAAAGAGGGGAGGTGTTACATACAGCACTGATGTTACCTGCTTGTCATGGGTTTGGAGGGAAAGTTCCATCCTATGGGGAGTGGAAGGCGGGACATCAGGAGGAGGGGCTGTACTGTATATATATGTGATGCGTGTGTGGAGAAGTTTAGACGCTGGGATGTGACGAAGCAGCAGCTGGGAAGAAGAAGCTGTTGTGGGAGTCTGTGTGTCAGACAGGGTACTACTGTGTGTCAGAGTACCAACCTGATAGGTTCAGGTGTCTGTTGGTTAGCCAGAACTGATAGGTTCAGGGTCTGTGCTTCAAGTTAAGGGTTCTGTGTGAACCAAACTGTATGCATGTATGAATGAGACTAAGCCACGTTACTATATCTTATTCACATAATCCTTTTATTTTCCCTGTGTGTTGTTTAAATAAATTGTGACAAACCCAGACCTACTGGGATCTGCCACACGTTAACTAAGCTGCCACCAACCATTCCCTATAAGAAGTCACACAGACCAGGGATGGATTTTCAACAAATAAAAGAATAAGGTTTATTTAAATACAACACACAGGGAAAATAAAATGATCAGGTGAATAAGATAAAGTAACGTGGCTTATTCTCATTCATACATGCATACAGTTTGGTTCGCACAGAACCCTTAACTTGAAGCACAGACCCTGAACCTATCAGTTCTGGCTAACCAACAGACACCTGAACCTATCAGGTTGGTACTCTGACACACAGTAGTACCCTGTCTGACACACAGACTCCCACACCAGCTTCTTCTTCCCAGCTGCTGCTTCGTCACATCCCAGCGTCTCCTCTCTCCACACAGGCTTCACCTATATATACAGTACAGCCCCTCCTCCTGATGTCCCGCCTTCCACTCCCCATAGGATGGAACTTTCCCTCCAAACCCATGACAGACAGGTAACATCAGTGCTGTATGTAACAAGGGCAGGGTGCGAAAATTAAGCGAGGCACCACTGTATACTGTATTTTAAAAAGCAAATACTCAGAGTGCTGTTGATCCCTTTAGACATAATTAAATTAAAATTTCCACATGACAGTGAGATGTCATGATTGTCAAAAAAGTTTTTAAAATACAGATTAATATCTTTTTTTCCCAAATGGAACTGCAAAGTGGAAGTTGCTACAAAAGGGTCTGGTCAGCTGCCTAGTTAAGTGGCTCCTCCTACAAATGGTTATACAAGGAGCCACATGAACAGACAGGTGACCTGCCTTCTGTACTTAACATGGATACGTTACCTTTTGCAGTTACATATCCACAAAACTGACCAGACCACTGGTCAAAATAATGAACTGGGGAGCATAGAAGCAACATGTAGCACCACATTAAATGAGTAATAACCGGCAGTGTGATTGTATAATTACAGTCCAAAGTGTCTCTGTTTTGGGGGAAGTGCACAGACTTGACAGGGTTGGGGTGGGCATGGAGACAAACCTAAAACAAGGAATAATCAAATCGAGTCCATCGAGTCCAACGCGTTGCTCAGTGCAATAATCCAAATCAAAGTAGATCTGACAGATGGCTGTCCAATTTCTCTTGCATACCTCCACTGCTAGGGCACTCAAAACTTCTTGAGGTAATTGGTTCCATTGTTGTACTGCTCTAAAAATTAGAATTTTTTTCCTGATATTTAGCTGAAATCTGGCTTCCAAACTTGAGCCCATTGTTGCGTGTCCTGCATTTTGGGATGACAGAGAACAGATTCTGCCCCCTCTTCTGTATGACTATAATGCAAGGTAGCCAAAAAGTGCCTATTGCAGTCTGTGCCAACAACGTGTCTGTAGCTTGCAATGAATATGCTCTGTCACTGAGAGTACAGGGTAGATCACAACAGATGTTCAAGAAAATGTGATAGCCTTCTACCAAAACTGCAACTTTGGAGAGTCTGTGCATATGCAATCTATAAGAAGCAGGTATTAAACTCACATTGTGTAAAAACCTAAACTTCTTCGGTGACCAGTGTAAGACTTAAATGAGTTTCAAGTATCATTTGAAAACTCACTTGTTTGAACAGGCTTTCTCTGGCTATAATATCTGACATGACACTTTATTTTTTATGTAAGATTTTTATTGTGATTGTACTAGAGTCTATATATATTTTCAAATGTTGCAATATTAAGATGCAGTAGATGAATTGTAAGTGCAAAAGTAGATAAACAGAGCTTTTAAGTGAGAAAGTAGATAAACAGAGCTTTGATTTCAGATGATGTCCTCCAGCAGAACATTCTGTAGGCCATACATTCAACTGTAAGACAAGTCATATACCTGCATCATCTACAGGTATGTATCAAGGCCCAAGACTCCCAAAATCACCTTGCCTGCAATTTATCAGGTGCTCTTAAAAACGCCCCTGCAATCTCCACTGGGAATTGAATTTCAGAAACAGAATTCAAATAGTATTTGCCATATTGTGTTTCAGTTTCATTATTTCATCTCCAAACATTATCCACACATTTTCTAGGTTTTTTTTGTTGGTGTTGTTAATGAGGGTCAGATCCATCTGCTCAAATACCTAACTTAACTGTTAGGGTTTCCATCAAATATTTATGAAGATGTAGCTTGTGACTCATGAATTTAGTGTCATTTTACTCTTCCTTGAGTCTGTACTCTTTGACCCAGCTGTGCTGGAGTATGAACAGTATGGCCTCAGTAAAATTCCTGTTACATGGCTCACTCCAGTACACTCACACAATGAGGTTCACAACTGGTGTGTGAAATGTACATTTGACAAAGAAGCCATCACCACCCATTTTCCCTCCGACAATGAGGCCTGAAGAAACAATGCAATTCCATCCTCTCTTTTTTTTGGCCAGAGATTGTCAAATACTATTTCCTATGCTTCAGGTCCTAGACATTCATTTGACAAGGAGAAAATGGAAGGTGGAAAGCAGTGAGCTGCCAAAGGCTACAATGGTATCTAATTCTTGAATTTGCAGTCCCTATCTGCTAAATGCTGAACTATGCTATCAAAAACGTATGCACTGTAGTTACAGCATATATACGTATATACCCTTTAAGAGTTGTTCTAATCCAAACATTTTCTTGTGCTGAATGTTATTTATGCCATCTTTTACCATGCACAAACACAAGCATTTGTTTCTTTTCTCCTGGCTAGTTAAGTCCCCCCTGAGTACCTTGATAGTGAGGTGAGGTGGTCTGATGTAAATGTGATAATATAAAATACAGTAGATATATTGCTTCATCTGCCTCCCAGTTCTGTTTAGGTAGACCTGTAGTCGTAAACAATAGCACGCATGCTTGGCTGGTCTGTCTAGTAGCCGTGCCATTGACAGTTGTTCCTTGAAAATCTGGTATTTGATATCATTCACTGTACCCCAGAGACTCATGGGCCAAACTAGTTCACTATCCAATTTACGACAATCTTGCTGGATTTCATCTAACCAGCTCTTACAAGGTAATAAAACAGAGGTCATTTCTGGGATAGGAGAAGCATAAGAGTGTTGCAGGAAGATATGACAGGTATAGGGAAGTGGCACACAGTGAGCAAAGCAATTACTAGACATCATGGAAGTTTGTCATTCCTACTATGTTATTAGCCACCAGAAAGGGCCATCATTCAAAAATGAGAGGAAATGGAGCAATTATACACTACAAGCAAGCAGGAATCAATGGGGAGACTCTGGTTTCAGTTGAGTATGTTTCAAAGTACTGACCCACCCCCAGCCTTGTTAATTATTGAAACTCAGGACAAAACATTCTGTACTGCTGCTGCTATGACTCAGACAAACAACAGGTAATGGATATAAAGCTAAGGAGGGAAGCACACAAGTTGGGGTGTAATTAAGATTGGAGTCATAGAATGTCAAGACTGGGCAAGGCAAAGTCCTTACCAATCTATGGGGGGAAAAGTTCCCAGGGAACTGCGTTGCTTATGGCTAGACACTGCAAAGCCTTGAAGGAGAAATCCCACAAGACTGCATGTAATATATAGAAAAATAGGCCCTCACATGGAGAGGATGAATACTCAATGGGGAAAAAATGCATTCATATAGGAAGAATTCTATATGGGAGTAAATTGCTGCCAAAAATGTACAGAACACCACTGAAATTATAATTGTGAACAAATAGCCAATTACATTTTATTTAGGGTTGGCTGAAAGGTATGCAGTAGTTATCTCCCCATTGACTTCAACTAGGGTTGGATCACATCAAAACTGAGCATTCCACAACATAGGGAAAACAGCAGTGACTTTCAGCCCTCCCACTCCCTTGCCATGAATGGCCCAACCCCTGCCCCTGCCCCTTCCCTCAAATACATTCAGGCTTACGGTGGCTGGTCTTGAGCCCATAGTGCTGCTAATCTCGGGGATGCAGATCCGGCTCACCTTCTCATAATAACGGATCTCATAATCCAGGATGATGCCGTTGGGCTGTTCTGGCTGAGGCCATGACAAGGTGATGCTCCTCATGGTGGCACTTACCTGGTGCATGATGGGAACTGTGGAGGGAGCTACGGAGAAAGGAGGGAACAGGAAGTGCAAGAAAAGTGAAAATTAACTTAGGGGAATGAGAAAATGAACATTCTGAAGAGATGGAAGAAAGAAAATATTAAGGGGGGAGCAGCAAGGATGAAGGTGCCACAGAAGTGATTATCAAAATACCAATTACAGACCAACGGGCAGAAACTGTACAGTTGACTGTTGGATTTCTTGTTGCAACCATTCACCTTATACATTGTAAAATGATATTCAAATAAACCAACACATGCATGAAAAATAGCAATTAAATAATTATTACTGTTGCAACCATTCACCTTATACATTGTAAACTACTCTGAATATAAAATGATATTCAAATAAACCAACACATGCATGAAAAATAGCAATTAAATAATTATTACTGAACACATCAAAATACTTTGAGCCAAGAATGGCTTCTAGACAAATCACACAGAGATAAATAGGAATAATAAAAACGAGAGATTAAATTCCCATTCAATTGAATGGTGCAAGGCTGGGAAGGTTCCTATGGATTGCACTTTTGGAATGTGTGTTTTTTTTCATAGCTTGCAGTTTTGTGGCAATATGTAAAATCCTCAACAGCAACACACAATTCAATCAGTCCAATAGTATCTATGACATTGTAAATATAGTCTCAGTTTTCCAGTCAGGGCAAGCCTCATTGCTTTTTCATCCTTCATTTCCCCTGTTTCCTAGCCCTTATCTGCTGTGCAATTCTTCTATATATGCATAGTGAGAGAGAGGGAGAGAGAGAAGGCCCAGCTTTATTTTATCACATTAGGTGTAATATCTTCTGAACCTCTAAATTCCTCAGTCTGTCCATCCTCCATCTCCACCACAATCTCTTTTCTGCTCTCCTGTTTTACGGAATACCTTTCACTCTCATTTATAATTGCTGCCTTGTACCGCTTAACGCCTTTATCCTGATCCCATCACTTTACACCTCTGCTGACATGAATTGTCCTTGCCTATGCCTTATAGGTCATATGGAGCCAGTGGTGGCGGTTGCCCCCACCCCCTTTCTTTGCTCCCCTGTTGGCCACTTTCTCATCACCCTTCTTTCAACCTTCACTTCTGCTCACACGATTTATGTCTTTTGCACTTTATCCACAACCAGCAGTGCAATGGCAATCTGATGCAGAAACCCCTCATTTTTAATTTCTGAAGAAGTGCTTGCTCATGTGAGAAGAGTGTATCCCCTCTAATGCAACAATCTGGAGCTTTTTACTGCCTCCAAAATGGGAAGGATAGTTGCTGTAAGGGAGGGGTGAATCCATGCATTGACTACCCCTGTGTTATTTCATTTTGCTTGTGCTACTTCCCTTCGTGCTTCACAGAATTGACCTCCTCCCCTCTGCTTTCTGCTTTTTTCGGCCATGACTATTTCTTTTCCTCATGCCGGTAGAGAGTAATCTATCTACCATTCAGCCGGCAGCTTTAGGTGCAAACAAACCTTCAAAAGTCTTCATTCCACTTGTGGTCAGAGAAACTGAGAGGAACACAGCTTTTTCCAAATGGAGCAGAGCAACAATGTTTTATATTGTTTTACCCTGCTAATGTTGTTCCTTGCTTCTGTTATAATAAATGTAGGCACATTATTGTGCTTTAGCTTTAGCTTTTATGCTAACCCATGTGTTATAAACTGATTTATTATGTTGCAAACTCCCTTGAGAGAGAGATAGTACAGAAAGGCAGCTGTAAAGCCAGGAGTGAGTAAACCTCTGGCCTTTCAGATGTTGTTGGACTTCAACTCCCATTATCCCCAACCAGCATGACCATAAGGGGTGATAAAATTGGCCATCTAGCATCACAAGTTTCTCAATCATACCATAAATTGTGATTTTTTTTAAAAAAAAATTGCAAACAGAGACTGGCTGAACTTTCTCTGCTTTTCAAGTAATTCTTTAGAAACAGCTGACTTTTACACATTTTTCCTGTTGAAACATCAGCATATCTTGGACAGGGTATCTAGAGCCTCTGTACCATCTCCATTTAGGCCCACTGCCTGCAATAGAAATAGTTTTTTACAGTAAAGGCACCCCCTGCTTTGCCATGGTGCTAAAGTTTCCTCAAATTTAATTGCTGTTTGAAGAACATTATTGCAAGCAAGAGGAATAGAATGGGAACACTCTGTAAATAATAAAGCTTTAATATTTAAAAAGGCTAGTTATTTTTAATTAGAATTTAAAATTCCTAGGGACACTATCTAAGAGGGGCTCTAAAAGCCTGTCTGCAAATGAATAAGAAAATCCAGGGAATGCTTTCCACTCTTTATGTATCCAGCCCAATGCATCCTCCTGCACTAAATATTTCTTGGGGTTCATTTTTCACAAAACTGGAGTCAAAGTTTTATCTGAAAAAACTGTGCTGCCCTAGAATGACATACTAAAAAAGGAAGAATATTTGAACTGAGCATAACCTTGCAGTTTGCCTCTTTAAAGTCAAGATGGTGAAGAATTTTGTTCTGTTTTCTTTTTGAGAAGAACGTATCAAGTCTACACATCACAAATCAATATATGAAACAGAATACAGTACTCCTAAAGGGTATGACATCTTAGAATTGTGCAGAGCAGTTAAAAATATATACGGAAATGTGTGTAGTATTAGGGAGAAAGCATGTACCAGAACATGTATATTGGAAGAAAATGGACATAAAAATGAACATAGTGACTGAAATCCTGTGACTTGGTATAGTAAGTAGCACTAGAGTAGGACTACGTATTGAATCAGTGGGGATTTGGTGAGTCAACTTCTCCATTGATTCAAATTGGCCAACACTAGTTGTGATTTACAACACACTAAACAATGGAATTTTAGCCAATGAAGCATTCTATGGACTCTACACTACACAGAAAATTTTCATAGATCACACATTAATTCGTAGAGGGCCACTTTACAAGACTTTAATGGAAGGGATTATATGCAATTTGCTGGAGTCTGAATGAGCATGGACATTGAAATCAGCAATACTGTATAGAATATGGGTCAATTGAACTTTGAAACAGCCTGCTCTCTTCGCATTCCTAACAGCTTGCTGAAAACAGTGTGCCCCAGTCTAGAGGAATGTGTTCTCCATGAGGAAATATTAGCAGATGGATTTGAAACATAACATTGAAATTCTGTAAATTGTAGTCAGAAATGTAATTTTTTTTTAGCCTGGGATTATGAATCACCACTTCTTTGCTGCAAAGAGGAGATAAATAAATAAATAAATAAATAAATAAGTGGTAAACAACACAGCTAAAATCCTATTGTACAGTTATGTAAAAAGTGTAACTTCTAACCGCAAACTGGTGTAGATTAATAAATCTTTCTAGACATTATCTGTTTTGCATCGAGTTGCACTACTTTGTGTGTGGTAGATTATGCTTAAAGAAATTTGTTAGCTGACAGCAATTTGAAGCTAAAAGTAATAAATAAATAAGTGGTAAACAACACAGCTAAAATCCTATTGTACAGTTATGTAAAAAGTGTAACTTCTAACCGCAAACTGGTGTAGATTAATAAATCTTTCTAGACATTATCTGTTTTGCATCGAGTTGCACTACTTTGTGTGTGGTAGATTATGCTTAAAGAAATTTGTTAGCTGACAGCAATTTGAAGCTAAAAGTTAGGCATTTTGCATAACTGCACAACAGGGTTTTGGCCCATGTGTTTAACCTTTCCCCACCCATCTACCATCTTCCACCTGCAACACTCGCCTCCAGTTCTCAAGATGAAATATATCTTTAGTGACCACAGATAACAATTTCCAATATCATTCATTTGGAATAAGAAGGGTCATGGTAGTAATAAAATATATTTTCCTCTCTCCTGCCCATGGTCTTTTATAGATTTCTGGGACTGAGAAGGATCCTAATTTTCCCCTTCCTCACTTCTAGAAATATATATTAATAGATAACCAACTCTAAGTGCTGCTGTTCATTGCTATGCACATTCCAGGCTGATGCAACCACAAATATATCACTGGGATGACCAGCTAACTCAAGGAAATTGATCAATCAGTCTGAATTTTCTTCTTTGATAATTTCTCAGGATGCCATAGATATGGCTTGTGCTGTTTTCAAAAATCAGTGTTGTTTTCACCTAGATAGCAAAGACAAGGAGTATCAGCCAAGAAACTATGCCAGCGAAGTTCAGGGCTATCCTTTTCCTCAAAGCTGCTTTGCTAAGTTATTCTGATGGCTTTCATTAGATAATGATATCTTCATTTTAATTTAACAGCAGCTGTCTATTTCTGGACTTCACTTTGCTCAGGTCTTGATTAAATATACTAAATTTGCAATTGGAATTGATTTGCTTGCCCATATCTAGTTCCATGTTTTGTCTTCAGATCGTTCAGCAGAAAGACATTGTTCTGGTTAAAGAGTCAAGCAACGGCTCTGCGCAACTGACACTTGTACAAGTATGCAAGCATGGTTCCGTGAATATATAAAATATAAGGGTTTATGAATAATGTGAGTAGTGACACCTTCTATCTGAGGAAGCAAGAAAATGTGTTTTTAAACTGAGCAAAGAATCCCTCAGTCCTGCACAGGGCCTGTTTCATATGGTGACATGTACCTAAACAATGGGTTTTCCTACAGACATCATATCCCTGAATCGCTTGGAAGTAGAGGTATTAAAATGCTAGGTAATGCCCTCATTTTCATCAGTGTAGGACAGGGTCCAGGGAACTTTTTTTACCTTTTACCCCCCCCAAAAAAAACAACATTTATATACACCGACATTGCCCCCTTGATTTGAAAGGAAGGATCTCGGTCACATGCGGCTGGTCGAGTGCCACCGCTGAAGCCTCACCACCCATGCCTGGGCTCCCGGGTGGCCGTCAAAGAGCAGCAGGTGGCTCACCCACTGGGGATGCCCGATGCTGCCTCCTGCTCCAGCACCGGCGTCCACGTTGGGCCTCGGCATCAGGGCTCCCACGGGCCTCACCACAACAGGTGCTGCACGGAGGGTGAGAGGCTCCCCAGGCCCGGCCGCCCGGCAC